TCGTTTGAAAAACGAACTCGATCAAATCAAGAAGGAGTACGAAGAAAAGGCTGCGAGACAGAAAGAGGTGAGTGACTGTAATGGTTTCCTAGAGCTGTTGTCCTTTTCTCTTAAACTTCGAACCTACAGGAATCCGACACGGCCATACAAGATTTCAAATTGAAAGCCGAGAAAAAAATTGCCAAGATCAAAGCTGCTGCCGAAAAGGACGTTACATCCGCGAAAGCTGAACTTCTTCTGGAGGTCCTATCTTGTTTTTTTTCGCGTGACTCATCAGGTTTAAAAGTACTTTCCGAGACCTTCTTCAATATTTCACTACAATAGTGTCCGTTCTCTTAAATATCAGACATTGACTCCACAATCAGTGGCACGCTGTCAGCGTCAAAACTATTGTGAAAGTTCGAGGACTGCCGTAGAGAACGGCGGAATGTTCATTTTGAGGCCATCTCCATTGGCATCTTCCCAGATACTGACCCAGAGACCGAAAGCGGTGGTAGCTGGACGGCCAGTCAAAACGCCTAGGTGGTGGATGGGGGAAGACCGGTCCAGTCGAGATTGCACAGCTTCATTTGAGTCGACCTTGTGATGAGCGGGCGCGCATCGTCGTCTTAGAAGAAGACATTCTTTTGTATCCTCTCTTACCTTAGTTACTCCAGTTCAGCGGTTCACAGTACATCTCATCACTGGTATAGAATCGTACAGCCGCAGCTCCCAATGAGCCCCTCACCTGACTCTCCGCTAGCATGTCCTTTTCGTGCTCCGATCGAGGCGTTAGGACTCCCTTATCCTCAGCCTTAGTCATCATCGCTTGCGCGGATAGTTGCCGTAAAAGACCCACTTCACATCTTTTGTTGCCGAGTAGTTCAGTCAGATTCTGGGAGGTGGTGAGTGTTGTGCCTCACCTGGTAAGTTGAGGCGTCAGTATGTGAGATAAGAACGCCGAGCAGTTGGAAAGTATGGTCATCGACCTAGTGTCCACCAGCGACCAGGAATAGAGACTATGGGGAAGAAGGAGGGTAGGGTAGCAGACTGCCGGTGGAGTATAAGGAAGTAGGAAGGGAACAGCTGGATTAGGCTTCGTGAAATTGTGGCGGCCGTAAGGTACTATTACACAATACCGTATTCCTGGTCGCTGGTGGACGCTGGTAGACGCTAGATCGATATCCATACTTTCCTAGTCCCTCGAGACGCTGATGGTCGCTGGCGAACGCTGGTGACGCTGGCAGACGCTGCCGTTCTCTAGATCGATATTTACACTTTCCTCGTCGCTGAGGCTGATCCACGCTCGAAACACTTATGGTCGTTGGGAGACACTGTTGTACGCTGCCGCAAAGTATGAACGCAGCCAGAGCAGGGAGGGTGCGGTGGAATTGTGGTATAATATGAATGGATTAATAGTCTGATATTAAGGCGGGCCAACTAAATAATTCCCTCGGGCTCAATGTCCGAAGTGTCCCAGAAATTACCGACCAACCTTATAGCACAGTTATGCATTTAGGTGGATCAGCTACGACGCACTATTTCTGAACGTGATCGCCGAATTGATGAGCTCGTAGTAGAAAAGGCTCGAACGGAGCAGCAGCTGATTGGACAGCGGGAAATGGAGGAAGAATTGGAACAACGCCGATCAAAGGAGAAAAGAAGTGGGTTCTAATACTACAGCGAAATTGTTTAGTGAGCTATAGATGCATTTGATCGTAGATGAATTGGGATTTAAGCGTAGTGGGCGGCTGGTTTGTCCGATTTCTTAATCTAATCACATCGTGCTTGCCATAGGATTATACTTGATAAAATGGCTTTTTCTTCCTCACCTTGTTTTTTATAGTTGAACGACTCCGTCAAGAGTATTGAAAGACGCATTGTGGAGTTGGAAACGGAAAATCGATTGCTGGATGAGAAGAACAAAGAACTTACCGAATCTAAAGAGAGAAGCGAAGCTCGTGCTGAGGAAAGCGACAAAAATTCCAAGGAACTCGAGAAAAAGGTATGCTACGAGATTCGACAATTTGTCATTGTTCTCCAAACAACTAGAGTTTTAGGGATGTCAGAAGAAAAAGGTTACTATATTGAGGAAGATTGGTATCAATCTTTTTAATTATGCGAATTTTACCTTATGTACTCTTCCAGAGTTCCCAAGGATCACCAGCTTTGTCATATTAAATGCTTTCAGATCAAGGCCCTAGAAGAGGCAAACGAGGAAGGCTTCCGTAAAGCAGCTGCCAAGCACGATAGCGATAGTAAGAAAGTGAGTAGAGAAAAAGAGGAGAATATGGAGAAATACTGCATTTTAATCTTCAATAATTTGACTTGTTTTCAGGCCGTACGGGAGCTACAAAGAGAGGTCAAACAGCTTTATGTGGAATTGAATGAGAAGACTGACGCGCTTGATATGGCGCGGACTCGAATCTCAGAATTGGAGTCGAGCTCTTCGAAATCCGTCGAAGAGGCTGTGATTCAAAAACAAACTCATACAGACGTGGACGCTTCTCCAAATTATGGGGTATGTACTGAGAGATTTACCGATCTAACCATATGATCCTACTGTTCAAAACTTTATGTGAGCAATTTTGTGAGGAAGGAAAGCATTACTCCCAGCATTACTGGTTACATTATTTGGTTTGAATTATACGAGGAA